TCATTATAGATTTTTTTTGTTACAGAATAAGTATTTGTTCAATGCTCAGTTACTGTGATATGTTACCACATTCCAAAATCAAAATTAAACAATATAGTTGAGCCAGTCTGAGGTCCTAAGAGTACAACATAACCTTACTCATCAGACAGGCATTTCTGAGCTTATTATTAGGATTTAACTTCCTTCCTAAGCATTACTGGTGCCTAGCACTGTTGAGAAAACCAAGGGGACTAGCCAGACATGGCCTCTGCTATCGTGAAAAATAACAGAGACAGATACAAACTAAGTACACAGAAAAACAAAACAATAATTACCTATTATCAAGAAGGGGACAAATACTGAAATACAGAACTAAGGGCAGGGCCCCCTGCGGATAGGGTGAAGAGATCTTACTAAAAAAGGAAGAGCTCTAAGTGATAATGTGTCTTGATCACACTCATGGAGATTTGATACATTTAGATTATTACAAAGATTTACTAATTGTTTTCTCCTGTCTAGATAACTATATAGGGGAAACCCATATCAGGTATTTTTGTAACTTAATGACCCCAAGAAGGTGGGAAACCAATATTAATTAGTGTCTGACATGTTCCTGTCCACGTCTACACCATCTTGCCAAGGTGGTCATTACTTATCCATTTTAGAGAGGAAAGAACCAAAAGTCCTGGAAGGTCTTGTGTCTTGTCGGAGGACTCAGTCAAAAGCTCTTTCACTGTACCAGGATTTTAACTACATTTGTAAAAGGCACTGATTACTTTCTCATCACCAACTGAATTAATTTTAAAATAAGGTCATGTGAACATTTTATTCTAATAAAGTGTCTCAAATTATTTTCATTATGAAAGCGGCTTTTAAGCTAATGATTCCAGTCTCAGGTCTATATAAATTAAAATCTAATAGTATCTTTCAGGAACACTATCTTTTTTTTTCTATTGATCCCTGCTACTGTCTATCTTCTCTCTTCTCCTAACCTCAAGGAGTTAATGATTCATTCGTGATTCCACCTGTACTGAGGTATCAAGCTTTATAACTGGGTGTTGGGTACAAAAGATCAAGTGCCATTACTCTTGAGAAGTCTGGTCTCAGAACTCAGCGACTGAAGGCTTGCTGTCCGCCTTTTCCTACCCTTTCTGCTCCCTCGGCTCTGGGAGGGATTCTTAAAGTAGACCCTAATCCTTTTGTGACCCAGGAAGAGGGTAGCAGGCAAGCCTGTCCAGATCTAAAGATCAAAGGGGCGTGGAGCCAAGACGCGGGGAGGAAGCCAGCCCGACTCTCAGGAATGCTCCTGGCACCAAGTTTCCACCGGCAGAGACAGCATTTGGAAGGAAGGATGCAAAGCTAAGAAACAATGTTGGTAGAGCTAACTGTGGCCCACTCGAGCATCGGTTCCCTGTCGCGTGCGGGAGTAACCCGGCCCCTGCCCTGGACGGCGTCTCCAAGCCGGGCTGGCTCGGGGCGGTGCCAGAGGGCGCACTGGGGAAGGGACCGAAAAGGGTGGTGTAGGCTCCGGCTGGACTCAAAGAGTCCTTCCTCCTCCTCCTGCCTACGTCCGCAAAGTCTTCTCCCAGGCTGAAAATCTTAGGGCCCTTCCTCCTCCGCATTGCCCTGGGCTTCCCCTGCGCTCCCCACCACCTCCCGCGTTCCTGCACCCTAAACCCGGGCTGGCCGATCAGAGCACACCGAACTACTCCCACCAGAGAGATGGGGAAATCTTTTCTGGCCAGAAATGGACCTAGGGACTCACTTGAAGGAGACACGAGTCCAGGGTGCCCAGATTTCTCCCCCACCCCACCCCAGGGGTCGCAACGGAGCCAACAGCAGCCGGGCCCTTATCCACCTAGGACTCCAGTTCATCACCCGGTAACTGGAATCTGGGCGCGCCAGATGAGCCTACTGGTGCCCACACACCCGGCTGGCACAAATCTTTTATTTTCTGAGGAAAGTGGCTTGATTTCCAGACTGACATTTAAGTTTTAAGAATCCTGGCGTGCCGTCCTGAAGTGCAAAGAAAATTAGACCAAACTGGAGCCCAGGATAAGCAACCTCTGTATTTTTCTTTCCCTCTGCATGGACTCATTTGGTTCTCTAATGAGACAGCTGAAAACAGTCATTCTCAAAATGTGATCCCTGGACAAATAGCATCAGAATCACTTGGAAACTTGTAAGAAATACCAATTCTCAGGCCCCACCCTAGACCTCTAGAGTTGGCCTCTCTGGGAAGAGGGTGGAGGTGATTTTGACGTCCACCTAAGAACTACTGCTTAAAAGCCTCCACATAGCCATGGGGTACCGGGCTCTGTTTACTGCCTTTCTTTTTAGAACGAAGTCTCCTGTTTGACAGTGGAAAGCCTGCTAGAAGCACACTTAATTGGTTGTAAAATCATACAGGCAATGGTGGGTGGGGGTTGGGGGGGAGAGAGAGAATGAACTTCCCCGCCTTGGCTACAGTCCAGTTGTAATATCTGCCTGCTCCTCCTGAGAACTTACAGGCTTGCTCATTTGGAAGACTTCATTCTCCTATAAGCTGCTTTGGTGATCCTCCTGGTTCTTTCTGAGAGCACCTTCTAAGATAGTTTTCATAACCTGGAGGTCACAGACAGGATAGCTCCTCCCTTCATCCTCAACTATTCTGGCTTAGGACAGAATGGGCCCCCACTCCTTCTTTGCAGCTGCTTATCCGCTATTCAAATCAAGATACCAAGTACCTGGGCTGGGGGTGGGGTAGGCTGGAGTTGCACCCTGCTGGGAAGACTGGAGGTGAGAAGCACGGTGGGTGTGGTCTTGCCCAGAAGCGTTAAGACTGATGAAAGTGTGTGTGGTGGGAGAGTCACGTCACATTCTTGGGGCAAATAGTAGCCCACAACCCAGTCACTCCCTCCAGGTTTCTCACTCGACTTAGCAGCTACTGGAAAAGACTGGAGTCTTCCCAGGCCTCTCCTTAGCTGTGGTCACTGATGAGACTGGACATTCTAATCACCGGATGCTAGGGTCATCTTATTTGTACGTCCCAGGTCTGGTTTTTGCTCTCTGAATTTTTCTAGATTTCTAGGAAAGAGTCACACTGGTAGAAAGCGCTGGACAAATGTGGAAAACATTGGAGAGAGGTGTAAGCTGGAGAGAGAGGCGACATTGCCTGAAGAAAGAAGTTTAGGTCATGTAATCAAAAGACCTAACACCGAGAATGTCCACCCTTTTGAGCTTCCTGCCTGAGACACTTTCAGTTTGAGTCTAAGTTTAGATAGTTCCGCACCTTACACTTAGGGAGCCCCCACTGATGTTTTGTGAGGTGAAAGAGGAAAATATGAGTATGATCATTATTATCTTTATCATCACTTTTATTCCTGAAGATAAGAGCTCTTTCTAGAATCCAGGGCTGGATTCCACATGGTCCCTATTCATAGCCACATACCTCCTGCCTAACTCAAAGGCTTCACGGTATAGATGGGAGGCATGAGAACTTTAAAAAAAAATCGGTATGCAGCTTGAGGGTTGTCAGAGAACAAACAAGCAGAATTTACTTTATGGGGCCACCTGCCCTGGAGGGCTCAGAATTTTGAGCAATTGGTTTGTAAAAAAGAGAGTGGGAGCTTGGAGGATTCGCTGACGGTGACAGGCAAACTAGTGAATCGCGCTGGTTCTCATCCCCACTTGATCTCCTAGGTCCAGGAGGCTAGGGCTCTGTCCCTCTGGCAGAAGTGACGGAACACGTGAATTTGGGGAAAGCGGTGTCAGCCAGAGTTTGAAATGATCTCTTGAAAGTCAAATTGGGATTAGGGGGTGGGTGGGTTAGCCTGACACTTTGAAAAGTCCTCTGAGGTGCAAATGGGCCGCGAGTGGATGATGAGTCACCCAAGTTCCCAGCCCCTGGAGACTGGAGAATTGCACTTGGTACTGTGGTAACTATCACAGGCAGGGTGGCTTTCCAGTCGCGATAAGCACCGCAGCATCCTTCCTTGGAAGTCAAGCTGAGGGCTCTACTGGCTAGGCGGCCTTTGGGGTTGATTGGTGGAGGTAAGTGCCGGAGGGGGGCGAGGAAGATCTTAACTCCAGGTACCGAACTGAGCCGAGCAAAAAGGGGGAAATCGAAAAGAATGAGCAAATGAAGCGGAAGTTTCAAGGCCCTCTGCGAGGAATAACAGTATAAATAACTGAAGACGTCTTGTAAACACTGCGGTCATAACCCCGAACATTAAACAGCCCCGGTGGCATCTGGCGCATCGGCTGCCCCGAGCTGCGCTGGGGCAGAGAGAGAACCCGGTCTCAGGCTCCTCGGTCTCGCCTCACTGTTTATCTCAACTTAATCTTTCCCTAGGAGCTGTTCCGTAGCCTGGAAGATGTTTAAATTAAGACCCAGCCCGCCGGAAGTGGTAGCGGGAGCTGAACGCATCCGCTAACCTCAAGCAAAAGGCAGGCATACACGTTTGTTGTTAGAATTAAAGGATAAGGTACGCTGCAGGTATATAAGATGTGAAGGTATAATAAGAAATATATAAGGTGTTTTAAAATCATAAAACACATCCTAAGGGTTGTGGAATTTACGTCTTTCACAGCTTCCATTATTTCTTCACTAGTTTGCAACCATATCCCCGCCTGGAAAGTTGCAAAACGTGGAGTTTATCTTCCTGCTCATGTCGGCAATTATACTGTGTAATACAGGAAAGTTCAATTGTCTTTTGATGGTGTGTTTTTCCTCTTGAATTGGGTAACTATGAATAACTTCAATCCTTCCCATTCTTTATTTACAGTTATATTAGTTATTCTTGCCTAACCATCTTAAAACTTGCTTGCAAAAGTTTCTTTTAACGTTTCAGTATAAAATACAATGTGTACTTTTATAATGGAGGTCATATTTAATCCTTTCCTACCCTTTATCTTTTTACATACTTTATCTCTGAAAATTTGCATTGAGATTTAAAAGAACAGTTTTTATTATCATCAGACTTCCCCGTAGTTTCCCACTTTTCTATCCAAATACTTATTTTTATAAATCACATCAATGCTTTTAGCAATATAAAGAAAGATTTATTTTCAAAAGTAGCAAAACTTATTTCAAAAAATATATATATCTTTAAGTGAATTACTTTATAAATGTGACTGTCAAAGTCAGCTATTCTATGATCTACATTTTACAACGTATTGTACAAAAGATACACATTGATAGGCTCTTATTATCTATTTATAGTTATAATTACATATTGCACTTGGACCAGCAAGGCTCGCAGAGTCATTCACGGTAGAAGTTAATAAAGTTAAATAGATGGGAATCTTCGTAACAACAAATGATCTCCTCTGGTTTGGAAACGAATCTCCTCGTCGTTGTAAAGTGTTCTCGCGGGGTGGGACAGAGAGAGGAGCATTGCGTTGGGGAAGCAGAGACAGAGAGCAGGGAGGGCAGGGGTCGCCTTCCCGGGGCCCGCTCCCCCCGGGGAGTGCGCCTTTCCCAGACTCGCACCTCCAAGGTCAGGACGCTGTGGTTCCACACAAGCGGCTCGCGGTCACGACTTCTTTCAGGTCACTCTCGGGTTTCCCGGCCACCATAAAGGGCCACGTCTGCAGGAGAGAAGAGAATGGAGGGAGTAAGTGACCGTGGCGGAGTGGGTGGGGTGGGCTTGGAGCCTGAGATGAAGGGAGGGGCGCGGTGGGGCAGGCAATGAGCTGGAGAGGCCGATTATCTCCGTAATTTACTCCTGTCCCAGTGCTCCCTGAGGCTACAGAAAGCAAAAAGCTGCCTTGGGGAAGCTCAGGTGGTGGGATTTTAGATTAAGAGCAAATAGGCCTCATACTGGGTAAAACCCCAGACAGGAGGCCATGGAGCTGGGAGTGGCTCTTGCTGTGGCACAACCAGAGGCAGATGCTGGTGAGCCTGAGCTGGGACGTCAACAAGAACCTCGTGCCTACTGGCAGGGGTTGGGGTGAGCGCCCTCCTGTCTCCCTTCTGAGGAGGTGATCAGGTCTCCGAGCCCTCTCAACTTTGCCCCCATTTCTCTGGTGCTGACATTGTTTTCCTCCATCACAAACATAGACTTTGAGCAGAGTTTCTAAGTTAATCACCGGTTCTTAAGGGGGAAAAATTGCTAACGGAACATACACGGGCATTTTATTTAAGATCGTTTTCATACTAGGCTGAGAAAGTTAAGCTTTCTCTTCCTTTCTGCATGCGATTTGATAATAAAGCTTATTTAAGTTTCTTATTCAAAGATGAAGGCAGTAGCAACTGTAAATGTTTTAGACAATACTTTCATTAAATGACAGTAAATAGATTTTAAAACGGCTACTTACTCATTGAAAAAAAAAAAAAACTAAACGTCTAGTTGGAGGAAAAACTGCTTTTCATGGCAAATTTGGGATGTAAAACATCCCCTCCCCCCAATTCCTGAGACCAATTGAGTGAGAAGACAATTCCAATCTCTCTCTCTAGGGCTGGCCGATAAGACTTGACTTTTAAAAGGAAAACCTCTCGTTCTTATCATATATAAACAGAGGTCCTAGTAAGTTGCTGTTGTTTTTCTTTAAAGCCTGAAATTTTAAAAATAAAATTAAATGTAAAAGGAATGAAAGTACATTTCTTAAACAATAAAATTTATTTGGAAAAAAGTAGACTATTACTTTTTTTGTAGTTTAAAAAATAAGTTAATGGACATTACTTACTTTTTCATATAAAAAGGTAACATGTCTTAAATCTTGGATAAGAGCGACTTATTTTAATATTATTTGTTACACTAATGCTTGTGAGCGTTTACTGATCGTACGGATTTTTGCTAGTACTAGGATTTAAAATGGCAATCCACTTACAGGACAAGCAGAGAATATTAAGGAATTGGGGGTGGCTTGCTTGGACAATAGGGAGACTTTGTGTCCTTACCTAATAGTCCTAAATATGGTTGGGAGAGAAATTGGGTGTTTCGTATTTACAAACATTAGAAAGGAAAATCAAATTCCACTCTGAGCTATAAGAGAAATTAAAGAGATTAATAAAAATGCACAGCTTCTCGTCGGGTCGGTCCTCCCTGATCTGAAACAGCCGCTCCCTGCCAGTTGGGATATCACCGCGCGGGGATCTCTCCTCTGTGCCAACTTAAAACCTCTAATTGGGCTGCCACGTCAGACCCTCCTATAAGTCACTCCTACGTTGGCAGCTTGTGGGGCAGACAGTGAAGGCCATGTTGGGGACCGCCCGGCATCCGCCCCTTGAAGCGCTGGGCTGGCGGTGGCCGAGGCGTGTAAGTCACCGCGGCGCCCGCGTCTGCGCCAGCACTGCCAGCCCCGCGCGCACACGACACCCCACCGGCTGCAGTGCGGGAGCGCGGGGACCGCAGCCGCGGCTGCCAGGGAGGACTCACCAGGTTGACTGGATGAATGTAACCGTTCTCGTACTTGTCGTTAGCCAGGATCTGCCTCAAGTGGGCGATGTAGCTGGACGCCAGCCTGAGCGTGTCCAGCTTGGAGAGCTTGGTGTCCGGGGGCACCCAGGGCAGGGTGGTCTTGAGCCTGGAGAAGGCCTTGCTGAGCACCCGCATGCGGGCCCGCTCGCGCGCGTTGGCCGCGTTGCGCTGGACCTGCTTCCCCTCCTGGCTGACCCCGCTCAGCGGGCTCTTCTTCGTGGGCGCCTTCCTCCTCTTGCCCAGGCCGCCGCGGCCCTTCTGGGGAGAGCCGTTCTCGCAGGTGGAGCCCTCCTCGGTGCTCTCGTTGGAAGTCACAAACTCCTTGTTCGAGTCTATTTTCAGCCCGTCGCATTCCAGCATCTCCACTTCTTGAAGGTCCTCCACATCGCTGAGGGAGCCGGTGGACATGTTTGGGGGAGTGGATCAGAGAGAGAGAGAGAAAGGGAGAGAGACCCCAGAAACCAATGGCCCCCCAAGTGTGGAGCAGCCACCTCGTGTTGGGAGTTCGAGTTGGGGTCTGGTTGGGCCTCACACCCCCTTCCCCTTTGCGGAATTGTGAGCAGGAGCCTGGAGATTTCTGCGGGAAGGAAGCGGGCGCTCGGTTTCCCCACCCCCGGAGTTGTGGCCCTAGAGGAGGGTGAGAGAGCGCTGAGGAATTTGGTGGACACTAGGAATTTATCTGGGGAATAGAGGGGCGGATCCTTGCAGCCCAGGGGAGGGGCCTGTCTGGACCGGGCAAAGCTTTTAGACCCCTTTCGCAAGCGGAGGGAAGCTCTCTCACTCACCCACCCTGATTTCCAACTTGCAGTGTAAATCAACTCAACTGCACTTCCCGGGTCACCCTCTTCCACTGTGGCTCAGGCCCCAGGAGGGGCAAGCTGTACTCACAGCCCCTGGCCCCCTGTCCATCTGTGAAGACTTCTTTCCTTCTTAAGAAGTCCCAGCTGGTTGTTACTGAAAATATTAGAAAAATCACCACATCTTTATCTGGGCCCTGCACCCAGAAATCTCCCATGAAAACTCTAATTGAGATCCTTCTTCCAATGCCCCTTAAAACTCCAAGGTTTTAAAGATATCATCCCATCTTACCTGGGACAAACTGAAAAAACAAATGCTTCAAGGAATCTTTAGGATGATGGCAGAGCAAATTCAAAACACAGCTTCTATACCTAGTCACTGCAGACATCAAGGAACTGTCAGTGTCTGAACATATAAGCACACTGGACCATTGCACACCCACACACAGCTTACCAGGGGTCGGTAGGGAATGAGATAGGGTCATATGAGTGTGTGGAAAATATTTTCTTACTTGATAATCTATTCTTTTAATAAAAGGAAAACTTTCCCTTCAATTTCCTACTGGAAATGTGTTTAATATTTTCTTAAGTCTCATAGTTGCTCTCCGAGATCACCTTGCCTGGGACTTGTGATGCATCGCCCCTCTGAATGCAGCTGCCTTCATCACCTTCTCTGCTTCATCCCCTCTGCTGCAGAGGTTCCTCGTGTGAAGCTGAGGTGACAAAACACAAAGCAGGATTATCTCTTTGAAGAAAGGCTCTTTTCCATCCTTAACCCCAGCTGGGACCATCTTTCTTGGAGAAGAAGAAAATCTTCTGGAGAATAAATAGAAGAGCAAAAGAGATTCTGACCTAGAGATTGAATGAAATCAGGAGGCTGAATGCATGAATCTCTCTTACTCAGTTCTTCTTCAGGGTATCTTTCTGTGCGGGTAGCCATTGACTGCGAGGGGCTGGAGCAAAAGGCAAGAGTGGCTTCACAGTCTGAAGCCCTCTCCTACATTAAGATATCATATCACTGATCCTGGGCTCAGCTGGGAATTCACTAACCTCTAACGTTTTGTTTTGTTAGCAGGGTTTTGTTTGCTTTCCCCCTGTGCTGTAAACTAAACAGGTTGTCAGCAAATCAGTCTTTATTAATGAATTAGTGACCACCCCCTCCTTAATATCTTTGCCGAGGATCCAAAATTTGTTAATCACCAGTGTAGAGATTTATGAGCTCTCTTATTTTCTGTTGTTTGTGCAGGTGGAGATTTAAATGGCCATATCCACCACCAAGATTTATTGCGAGAGTGATTGATGTTATAAACCAGGAAAAGGTCTCTTCCCACAGCAGGGATGACAGAAATATCAAGTTGAAGTTGCCTTTGTCTTCTTGTGCAAATGACCCAGTACTACAACACAGAAAGTATGATAATTTAATCTGAGATCCAAGACAGCAGCGAGAGAACACCCAGCAGGCCTTTTAAAAAATCTCCCCACTGATTCCTGAACTAGTTTTCTTTGATTTGCCATCCGTTTTCTCAGTCTTGGTAAGCCATGAAAGTCAAAGTTATTTTTAGACTGAAGAGCTATGTGAAAATGAGCATTGGCCAATACTTTGTAAAACACGTGTGTGTATGGGGGGGCTACTGCGATATCTGCAAAATAACCACAAATAATTTATTTGGACTCTGGAATGGGATAGTAATTAAGAATCTGAACTATGGCCTTACCACATACCAGGCTATTAAGTTGTGATTATTCTTCTTGGAGTCACTTTTTTTTTTTTCCGGTCTGGTTCTCTACTATCCTTTAATTGATAGGCTGCCCCCGCTGTTTTAGGGATAGTAACAATCATAGTAATATGTACCACTGAGTAGTTGTCTCATGTCTGTATATTTTTTCAATGTTGGAAACTTAAAAATAGCGATTTCTAGAAGGTAGCAAAACTAGCCTTACGCCATATACTAGGTTTTATGCCTAGCAATTATTTTTCTTTATAGCAACATGAGCCCTGAGCCCATTTATCTTGCAGTGATGCATTTAGGCTGAGAAAGGCTAGTGGGCTGATAATAAACATTAGGGCGTTTCTAAAATTCCACATGGGCTGGCTACCAGTTTGGGAGCAAGATGTGAAGAAGACTATCCCTTCTGTGTGCAGGTATGAAGTCTTAGAGAAAGCCTGTTCATATGAAGAATACTTTTTTTCTCTTTAAATTTTGTGTCTGTCCCTTCTAATAAACATTTGGGGACACATGGGTGGGGGAAATGACTTCTCGTTGGAATTTGACTGAGCAAATCAGTTGAGCTGTAACTTAAGCTGTGCCAAATTCTCCCAAAATATAAACTATATTCTGTGAGAAGCGAAGCACTTTTGAGAAGCTGTATTAACCCTTTCGACAACAGAGATACTTTGAACATGACTGTTTCAAAGCAGTCAGAGGGAAAGTAGGGGTCTGAAAGTATGAGGTAGTTTCTACAAGTTCTTACCTGCTTCTAAGGAAGAGTTGACGCCTCCCCGGCGTCTGGCCAATTTGCTGTACACTTCTAACAATTTGTTTCGCAAGAAAGGCTATCTTTGAAAGATTTCAGTGCTAAGGAAAATTTATCTCCAAAAGTTATAAAATGAAGATTAGGCATGGAATGTCTCCTTGAACTTAAATCCTGGTTTATCGACTGATAAATTCACAGGAAGTTCACATTTGATTCAGTTGCACTTGGATGGAATAATTTGCTTCCTTTTCTACGAGCAGGATGAGAGCACAAGCTTCTTTTGAACTGGCTTCATATGCCAGTACATTATTTTTTCCCAGAGGGGGAAAAATATGCCTTTAAATTCAAATTTTAATCCCTTTCTTATACTCCCCATCATTTGGCCAGGAAACACACAGGCTCGCAAACCAGCAAAACTGCCGGCTCTTTTTTTTCTTCACTTGTAATCAACACCTCCAGATGGTTTATTCTATTTCATGGTCAACACGAGTGGTCCAACAATTTTTCTGACTTTCTACATGAGTTGGTGCCTCTTTTTCATTCTTAAGTGCCTGCCACTGTACCCTCTGTTTGCGGGTGAGTGTTGTCTACCTTCGCTTACAAGCCCATCAAAGTCAGACTTTATTTTTAAAATTTATCTTGTAAAGTGACCATTATCTTCTTTTGCTTGTTATAAATTATAGCGATGCTGGCCTGTTATATTTTGTCAGTTAGTTAAGATGACACTAGCGAGCCTGTTGGCTATCTAAGAAGGTCAATAATAGTGATGCTGTGCGTTACTGTAACCTTTACCTAGCACCAGCCCAGGGCATAACTCCATGCAGTAATCTGACGTCCTTGTGGTGTTCACTATACCATAACCTCCTCTTTTCACATTTAATTCAGTGAGTTATAGATCTGATGCCACAACAGTAAGCCTTGAGCTGGAAAATCACAACGGTATATTCTAAAGAATGACTCTTCAAAGTTCTTTGGATTGAAGAGTTAATCTTTCATTCCACATGTTCCATATTGTAGCTTTGAAATTAGTTACATCTACGCACTTGAAGGACAGAGTATATCCGCAGAGGCAGTGGGCTGAGGCAAACTCAGACAGGGAAAGGCAAAACCCTCACACAGTCAATCTCGAGTCTTCCTACGTTTTCTAACACTAGAATAATTTTGTTAGACCCTTTTCGTGTTAGGAAAGAAGGGTGAAAGACTGAACAATTTTTGAATCATGTCCATGCTGGGTCTTTCGCCCCATTCTCTCATTTCCTTTCTGTTGTCACTGCTAAAGGAAGAGCCGCTACATGAAATGCAAATCTTACTAGCAACATGTGTCTGAGGCTTTCCCCTGTAACCAAGAGGTTTTGGAAAACTCACTTGAATAATGACTATTATTTGAATCATGACTGTTCTGTATCTTAAACTAAAGCTTGAAGGTAAAACCTCCCAAGTGTCCCTAAAGAATAAATCATGTGGATTACATAAAAGACATCTATTACAGGCGTGTATGTTAAATACTGTTAATTGATGGGCAAAGAAAGATACTGCTCAACTTCTTGTCAGCCTCCTTCCTGTCAGATTGAGACAGTCTGGGAACCAGAATCAAAGCCCCTTCTGGTACTTATCTCCTTGGGATTATTTTCTTGTGACAGGTGCTTTTAGCTTTGAGGAGCCCAGAGTCACGGGGTTTAGATGCTGGAACCACCAGGAAAATACTAAGAGTATGGATTCTGACCTTAGGAACATGACAGATTTCTAGGCAATGTGGCATTTTAAAGTGAAGACACGAATAATAGACTGTCAGGATTAGATAGGGCTGAGAACCAAGGAGGCTCTAATGATCAAGAATTCTGGGGCAGCGCCTGTGGTTCAAAAGGGTAGGGCGCCAGCTCCATATGCCAGACGTGGTGGGTTCAATCCCAGCCCTGGCCAAAAACAAACAAACAAAAAAGAAACCCATAAGAAGATATTTCAAGAAGAGAAAACCACAGATTAACATGAAAAAAAAAAAAAAGAATTCTGTTCCTATGTCAGTGACAATGTTGCCATTTAAACTTGTGTCTCTATTTGTCTGTGTTCTAATAGTCCTTCCATGAAACCACATTGCTTTGAATAATTTTTTCCTGTTTGAATAATCATAATAAACGTAAGAGAGCTTATATTCTGTTCTTCCTTATCTATGAACAAGAATCTGTAGCTATTTAGCTCTAAATTATATAAAATGAGATAGGCTTGAGCTGTCCTGGAATGTAATGCTTAGAACCCTGTCTAAGATGATTTAAGTAATGTAAGTGCTGGAAGGACTTCGTTAAAGTAAAAATCTCATCTCTGCCAGGGAAACCGGATGGGCAGTCCAAGAGCCACTCTTTCAAGAAG